TTTTTCACAGCCTTTACTTGCCTCTTAATCATTTCAGTTGTTATTACAATATCATCAATTAATTTTCCTTGAGTTTCTTTACAGATATCTTTAATTCATGAGGCATGTTTGTTATGTCCAGTTGGGCTTTCCCACATTTCTTTCCAAACTTTTAGAGCATCATCTTTACATGGCCCTAATTTATTTTGCTCTGCATTTTCTCCTAGTTACACCGGTACCTCACTTTACGAAAGCTTTGCTTTATGTAATTTTTGGTTTACAAACCAAAATCCATAGAAAATAATGCCCCGGTTTATGTTTTTTCCGCTGTACGAAAGGGTTCTCCCCAGGATGTATTGCGCCTGGAGGTTTCTAGCGCTGCCCCCATTCCTAACGCAATCTATGTATTGGTTTATGAAATTTCTGCATTACATAACGTCCTGGAGGACACATTAATTTCATAATTAATGGATTTATGGCAAAACAACAACAACAACAACAACCCCGTAGCTGACAGGCAGCAGTGGCCTGCATTACAGAGCACATTACAATGGCAGATTGCTGATGAAATGCATTCTTTTTCAAATTACTGTCTTGCCATAACTGAATCTCTCATATGAAATTATGGTTAAAAAAACAAACCAGAAGTGATCATGAACATGAAATAAAGATGGAGAGAAAAACAGATCTGGAACCCTCACACAGCTGTATCTACAGAATTTATTTTGGACAACTCCCAGAATCCCCCACTCAAAATGTTTACTGTGTGTGTGTCGCGTGTGTGTGAGAGAGAAGTGTAGTGAGATGTTGAACAGCAGTGGTGACAAAGGATCCCCCTGAAATATTTTTTCTTTTGATGCTAACTTTCCCAATTTCTGGGGTTTTTGAATCTTGTAACCAAATTCTATGGTTATTATGGTAGCTTTGCTACACATGAGTTTTCTTTCTGTGTTCTGGCTAATATGGGTTACCATTTTCCCCCTCAGTGTTGTTTGCTGTTCTGTCAATTCATAATTTCTGGGTTGTTCCATAAGTTGTTCCTCTGTTGACACATTTTCTTCCATTATTGTGTCTACCTTTACCCTCCATTTGTCTTCCATATTATAGTCATTGTTCTGTGCTGATTTTGCCACCTTTTCTAGTTTTTGCAATTTTAGTTCTGAAAACACTTTACTCCAGATGATACATCTTCTCTGGTCCATTAATTGTAGGTCAGTTATGTCACTACTTGGGTGTCTCCTTTCCCAAATTTCTATCATACTTTTTTGAAAACCATGAGCTGTTGGGTTCACCTTATAATAACATTTCACAATTTCTCAATTTCTGGTGAGACTCCAAGGTTTGTGTTTACATTGTTCCAGTAGCTTTGCAGCAACCCATCCTGGTTCCTCAACAGGGTCGGCTGAACCCTGCAATCCATTTGTCACCACATGCCCAGGGGCTATAGCATCTGACATGGTGCTTGTTAACCCAGGCAACAACCAATCCAGTATGGATTTCTGTTTATTTCCTCTCATCATAGTTGATGGTTGGTGGGCACAGTTGGTCTGGCTTTTCAGCTGAGACCTGTCTGGCTTGGGAGACCTTTCAGAATAGCTCTCAACCTCATTGAAGCACACAAGCCCCTCTGCCTCAACAAGGCCTGTACCCATGGAGGGGATGATGATTACATCTGTTATACTGTTAGAAAATTTAGATTAACTTCTCAATGTGCAGTGTGGTAAGAAGCAGATGTGGCTAGACTCTGGAAGCCATTGCTGGAAAGTCCCACCTTTTTCTAAACTAAAACGGCCACCCTAATCATTTCTGGTCTCTTCTAAACTAAGATGGCCACCCTGCTTGAAACTTCATCCATCCGTTTCTCACTACAAACACTTCTCCCTCAAAACTCCACAGCCTGGTCACTGACCTTGTCGTAGGGGCAACAGGCCCACCCACCCGAGCTAGCCTCACAGCAGGTCTGGCCATCGCGACAGTAGTGCTGATCACCACAGGACACATCCCGGCTGGATGTGGAAAGACGTGAAGCCATCAAAAGACCGCCCGAAGCGAGGTCCCCAGCCTCTTGCTGCTTCTCACAAGTCTGGGCTGCCACATTGCAGGTGTAGCCCGAGGGGCAGCAGTGCTGGTGATCATCACAGCAAACAGCCTGCAAAACCGAGAGAGACCAGCCTTAGTTGAGGGCTCAAAAGAGGGGCACAGCCATTCTTGACCTAGCCACACAGCTGCCTAATATATGAAAAGGCATTTCTGGTTTCGTTTCCTTTTTCAAAAAACAAAACTATGCTAATGAAGACACAACTTACCCTTTTTGCCTTCTTACCTCAGTCAAAAGAACCACTTCCACAAAAACAGCTGCACAGTATGCAGAATACGAGAGTTAACAAATAAAAAGTTAGAAGCACTACCTATTTTGGGATGGCCTTAAAATGGCTTTGATTGCCCTAAATGCTTCTGAGTGGCAGACATTCCACTAGAAGGGCAGGAATGTTCCCTTCAGTGGCTCGTTCTTTAGCTGGCATCAATCCTCCCTCTATCATAGCTGCCACCCAGCCCCTCCCTTTTGCAGTCTCCGTACATAGTCCAGCTTGCTGTGCAGGTCTGCTGTATGCTGACACGGGAATTCTAGGTATTGCAATATAAAAAAGAAACAAGTGTTTCTAGCTTTGGATTTCTCTATGATCTAAGATCTGGTACACCTTAACATTCCTGAATTAAGTGATGGAGTGAAGGAAGACGGCAATAATCAAAAACGTAAGAACTGGTCTTGGAAGCTGACATCACTTCCTGGCACAGTCATTTTGCCGGAAGTACAACTGGCTTTTCTCAGCATAGCATCTGGGTCATATTTTTGACTGCTGACTTACTTTAAAAGGGCGTACCTTGCTCTATTCACACCAGCAACACTGTTAAATTCTATGACCCATGCTTTCCAGCCAGCCAAAGTTCGGTTCTCTGGACAACTGGCTCTTTCCCATTGCCACTGCTTCTACACCTCTCCCTGTACTTCAGAGGTGTGCTGCTTCCACGGATAGGTGGCAGTGCCCCCCTTAAACCCTATGGGGGGTATATCCTGCCACTGCTCCCCTTCTGCAGTGCAGTGGCAGAGAAGAAGCAATCATGACTTGCTTTCAAAAAACAAAGTGCATTCTCCCTGTTTTTGGATGAATAGCCCTTCCAGGAGGTTTCAGCTTGAAAACTAGATCTGCATTCCCTTGTACTCCTTATTACATTGCTAAAATATAGATATTTTGTTTCACCAAGATACCAATATTTGGTGGGGATCATTGGAAGCCTGCCCTTCCTCGCAAAGACAAGACATATGTGGCCTGGGGATGTATTGCTCAGCCTGGCTGTATTTGGTCATACTGGCTGCCAACGGCCCAACCTCAGCCCTCTACCCTATTTTCTAATACATCTGTGTCTGACTGAAGGTACTATGTGAAAAGATATGGCCTGTCACATATTGCAAGAAACCAGAGGTGCCCAGAAATATCCTCTACAGCGGAAAGGGTGATGTTCTGGCCCCCTGTGCTGCACCAGAGCAGGAAACCATAGACAGGAAACCTTGGCTGTACTTACGTTGGGCAGCTGGCAGCAGCTCCAAGCACCCGACACCCCCTTGCAGCAGGTCTGCTCTTCCTCGCAACTGACCGTATCATTGCAGCGGATGCCACGGATCTGAGTCATACGGGCAGGATGTTTAGGTGCCCAAGGGAGGGAGTGCGATGACTCCTGGCAGGTGCCTGAGGATGGATCACAGGTGTAGCCGTTGGGGCAGCAATGCACACGGTCTGCACAACAGACAGCCTGCAAGGCAGACAGAGAGTTCTGGAAGGTGAGACAATACCATCTGGCCTCAATGAAAAGCTCTGATCTGGTTCATCCCAGGGCACAGCCTCCCCTCGGCTTAACTCCTTCCTTCGCTCTCTAGCCTGTAACTTTGTGGCCCACAACCCCTTCGCCTTTCCCTTCCCTTCCCACCAAGATCACACGCGCTCAGAAAGAGGCACCCCTACAAAGGAGGATATTTCATCCGACTTGGGAGCGCTAGTTCCTCTCGCTACAACCACCGTAGAAGCCTGCAGACCACGCTACTCCAGCTGCAAGACACATGGGCATCCGACAAGAATCATCATTACTGGGTAGCCAAAGGCTGCCAATGAAAACAGCAAAGAGAGTCACAAAAGACAAAATATAATCACTCCAGAAAAGCTTGTTGGGGCTTCTGGGAGCTATAGTCCAAAAATGCAGAGAAGATGGATTAGGTGATGCAGATTTTCAAAAAGCTTTAATTCTTGACTCTCCTGTGTCCAGAAATTAACCAACCATCATCTGCTCAGCTGTGATGAGGTGTAGCAAATAGAAATGTTTAGTGGAATTTTCCTCTAACATTAAAAAAAAGAGATCTTGCTAGGTTTCAGCATTACTCATTCGTTCTTAAACTGAGACTAAAATCTTCTCCCAGTGGCCTCCTGATTTTCTGGACTGCACTTCCCATAATCCCTGGGCTTTATTGGCTGGAATACATATGATAGATAGTCCTAAACCTCTCAAGGACTCCAGCTGGCCTCTCCCAAGCCCTCCGATCAAGATCTCGACTCTTGCTGCTCTCCCAAACCTACTGACCTGTGGGAAAGGGCAGCACCCCCATTCGCCCGAGGCCAGTTGGCAACAGGTCTGCCCATCTTTGCAGCTGGTTTTGTCATCGCACTTCACATCCTCAACCTGCCTTGCCTGAACGGGAGCCAGCGAGATCAGCTGTGAAGAGGCCGAACTCTTCACACAGGCGCTGCGCTGGACGTTGCAGCTGTAGCCGTTAGGGCAGCAATGCACGTGGTCCTTGCAGCAGACTGCCTACAGGGAAGACACAACAAACCAGAAGCTCATGGTCCAGCTGGCCTCCGGTTTATGGGAACAGTTGTAGTGACAAGAGTGGGCCAGGCCTGGACCTCCACAAATCATTCGACTGCAAGACCCAACATTTCTCATCACTGGCTATGTCAGCCAGGGCTGATGGGAGTTGGAGTCCAACAACATCTAGTGGATTGTACTCTGCCCACTTCTGTGGCAAAGCAGATCTCTGCATGACCTGAAGTAGCTGGGCAAGGATTTATGATTCCCCATCACTTACCAGCAGCAACAAAGCCCCCATTCTGCTCCCTCCAGCTAGTTTAAATGACCCTGCTGCAAGAAAAGTGTCTGGTGATCAGAATTGTGTATTGATGAAAGATTGTGAACTATGCCCGGTTCTAGTACTTACTCATGAATATTTATGATCATACTTTTCAAGGTAGTATAAAACATAACCAACCCATAAAGCCAAGGCACAGTTTGAACATTAAGCATAAAATAGATTGTAAAGCTGAACTGAACTGGGAAGGCTTGCAAAAAGAAAAAAAGGTAAGCTTGCAAAGGCACGGGAAGATTATTTCACATAATAGAGGATCACACTTATTGTCTTGTGCTGAACAACTGCATGGTGGACTTCAGGAGTCTGTTGGTAGATCTCAGAGATCAAAGAAGAAGCCAAGTAGCTTCTGTACAAGCCTAATGTCTGTTGAACCTTGAACTGAACCAAAGGAGACTGAGGAGGGAAACCTTACGCACCAGGGCCAAATTCAAGCCAGACGGCCGCATCCTCCTCCCCACAACATCACTGTTTTCTGTAGGGTGGATCCCCCCCTTTATTTGAAAGGGATGAAACACCTCCCCTAAGGCTTAGTTCCTACACACAAGAACTTTCAGTCAAAGTACACTGGTGCGAGTGGCCCCTGCCCTTTTGCCTCTAACCTCACCCGGCACTGAAATGTGGCCCCTGGAAACCTCTCCCAGACTGAATTTGGCCCTTGAGAGAAAACAGATCCTTCACCTTGGCATTAGTTCACTTGCCTACTGATGTGAAACTTGCAGACTTTCTTTCTACTTACCCATGGCTGGCTTCTCTGGGGAGCTGTACAGAGGATGGTCTCCATCAGAGATCCACAGGCCAACAGAACTAGCTCCCCAAACAGGAAAAAATACATTGTTGGGCCTTACCAGAGGCCCCAGTGAACAGAAAAGAGCTATTCCCTCTTTGTTGGCCAAAGACAGCCCGATAAGCCAGCCCAAAAGGAGAGTAAAATCAAGACCAAACAAAACCACATCATTTTTTTTTGGAGCAGGGTTCCTGGAGCTGCCTCCTCACCAACCTGTGGGAAGGGGCAACAGGCCCACACTCCTGTCACTAGCCGGCAGCAGGTCTGTCCATCCGCACAGCTTGTCTTATCATCGCATTTCGTGTCTCTGCTCGAAGAGGCGACGGCAACAATAGCTGGCTTCTTCTCCAGCCAAGGGACACTGTTTCCACTCTTGAGGCAACTGCCCTGTGATGGGTCACAACGGTAGCCGCTGGGGCAGCAGTGGACATGATCTGGGCAGCAAACAGCCTGGAGGGGAAAATGGAAGTCAGGCAGCTGGAAGGAACTATTGACTCTAATGGACTGTATGGAGGGAATCAGATCCTGGATGTAACATGGAACAAACAGCACAATTACCCCAGCTTATTACAAGTACTTTGCTCTGCAATGACAAAGTTACAGTTCAAAACAATATCAATATTTTTGAGCGACAAGCAAAATTCTAAAGGTTCATAATAAGGACTGGGGGTTTCAAGTTCATCCCCCAAACAATCAGGCCTTACACCTCCTCTCCCATTGTGGGAGTCCTGGACATCTCCAAAAGAGAAGGAGTACAGTAGAAATCAATATTCCCAAACATTGTACCTTTAGATGTGGTAGACTACAAACTCCCTTCATGGCTGGGGATAATGGGAGTTATAATCCAACTTATTTCAAGGGTGCCAGGTTGGGAATGGCTGACTGAGAACATGTGCAAGTGCTGAAGAAAACCTTCCTGTAATTGGCCCTGGCATATGGAGTCAAGAAATTATTGATCCTGCAAGATACCCAGCTGCAAATCCACACCCCAAAGCAGGTCTGGTTACATGAGACAGCACCAGATTTGTGACTTGTCCTACTTATGCAGAAAGTAGAGAACCCAGTTCACAGAAGCAAAAGGAACACAGGGATGAGAAGGGGGCTGCCCTCCAGATGTTGTTGGGACTGCAGCTCCCAACGTAATCAATGGTGAAGAATGCTTGCCCGTTAATGATGTTGAACCATCCCACTAAATATGACCAGCTACTATGTGATACCCATAGGTTCGGCTAAAGAATTCAAGAATTGGAATCGGCAACTCAAACTAGATAAAACACTGGCTACAAGGATGCAGCTATTGATACGTGTGACTTTATCTATAACTATACATTGGTGCTCTGCTTAACGATTACCCCGCTTGACGACAAATCCGATTCACTATTGTGATCGCAAAATGATGTTTTAATGGGCAAAATCCGCTTTACGACAATCGGTTCCCTGCTTTGGGAACCGATTCTTCGCATTATGACGATCAAAACAGCTGATCGTCGGGTTTTCAAAATGGCCGCAGCTGTTCAAAATGGCTCCCCACTGTGTTCAGGACGGATTTTTCGCTACACAGGCATCGGAAAATGGCCGCCCTATGGAGGATCTTAGCTGGATGCTGAGGTATTTCGCCCATTGGAATGCATTGAACTGGTTTTCAATGCATGTCAAATGGGCTTTTTTATTTCGCTTGATGAGGATTTCACTCTACAGCGATTTCACTGGAACGGATTATCCTCTTCAAGCGAGGCACCACTGTATTTTCTTCTGTTCATGTACTCATTTGAGATCATACCCATTTTAAAGCTGACAAAAGTGGAACCATGAGTATGCATCCAGATGCATACTCATGATGCTAGTTTTAAGCCCACCTTGCATTCTTAGTTTCATATCCAAATACAGACCAGAAAGCACATGACAATCAACATGCTTCAGCAGCAGCAGCATGCCGAATCCGTTCTGCTAGGGATGGAGTGGGACTCAGGGCACCTCTCTCACCTGTGGCACTGGGCAGCAGCCCCAGGCCCCTGACACCAGGCGGCAGCAGGTTTGTCCATCTGGGCAAGTCGTCTGATGATCACATGGCACCGCCATGCCAGAAGAGGAGGCTGTGGATCTTGCGTCTGTCTTCAGCAGCCATGGGACACTTCGGTTCTCTTCTGTCTCACAGGTGCCCATTTCCACGTTGCACTGGTAGCCCTTGGGGCAGCAGTGGATGTGATCTGCGCAGCACACAGCCTGGTTTGGGGGTGGGGGTGGGGAACACCAACACAAAGGGCAGAGCAGCCCATAGTCACAGAACTATTGGGGTGGGAGACATTCAAAGTTGCTTTTTATTGAACCATACAGGGAGGCGGGCTCCTTGAAAGACAGTAACTCATGCTGACTGGCAAGCACTCTTAAGGAATCCTTAGTGAAGTTTCAGGAGTGGGGTCCTCTGCCCTGAAGGCATGATATGGCTCTCAGACATTCGTCATCTGTACATTTGGGGGGGGGGAAGGCATCTTCAATCCCACATCTAGGAGCTATAATGAAGGAATCTCCTACTCCCACTAATTGGCAAATAGAAACAGCAGGGATCCCCCTTCCTGGTTCACTCCTCCCCCACTTTGGCTGCGTGTTCAGAAAGCATGTCAACGCGTCGGTTGACAGGGCCTCTCCCCCCTTCCCCCCACACAGGAAAAGGGAGGAAAGAGCAAAGCTGGGTCCTTAGTTCCACTCAGTACTTTAAGCAAGGGACTAAATCAATAGTTCTCAACCTTGGGTAATGCCAGGGGTTCTTGGACCAAAAACCTCAGCCAGAACAGCTACTGGTGAAGGCTTCTGGGAACTGCAGTCCAAGAACACCTGGGTTACCCGAAGTTAGAAGCCACTGGATTAAATGATGTCAGGTCGGCATGGCTGCATCCTGTGTTGTCATCTGGTCCCCAGAGCTAAAGGGCCATTGATTCAGTGGAGCCAGGACTCACAGAGTCAATGCCCTGGAATTTTAGTTACAAGAAGCATGACACCATTCGCCATCTTTCAGGCTTCCTCGTTCCTTTTGAGCTTCGCTCCAATCCTTACAGCTGTTTGCAGAAAAACTGAGCAGCATATTGTTCCAAGCCATCCTCTTACAATGTAAAGCATTTGAAAGTGTTTTAGTCCTCTTTAAGTAATTAAGACCTATTAGATTTATAAAAGACCTTTGTTGATAAGGATTTTTTAAATTTTGAGGAGAGGGCTGGCTATAACATTAATCACGAAGAATACTCACACTTTCAAATTTATCGCTACACCATTCACTATATGTAGGAGGAATGTGGCCTTTCACCCAACTTTAGTTCCCTTATTTCCCAGGCTAGTGATCCTTTACAACAGCAGATATGGAGAATTGAACTGGTGACCTCCTGTATGTAAAGGATGCAATTCGCCCGCTAGCTAGTGCTACTTTTTGATCATAGTGGATATGCCACTAGCACGACGATGGCTTACACATCCATAGACCAGTACCCTGGGACAGGTGATAACCTTCTCACCTCTTCTAGTGGGCAGCACCCCCATTTGCCAGAGACTGTCCTGCAGCAAGTGTTTCCATCTGGGCAGGCGTGTTCTGGATCACAAACGACATCACGAGCTGCAGGGAACATAAGCAGATCTCTGCTGAGTTAGGCCACAGGATTCTCTTGTCTAGCATCCTGTTACTAACAGTAGCCAAGTTGATGGGTCAGGGAAGCCCACAAGCAGGACAAGAGTTTTTCTGCAATTGAGACTGACACCAGAACTCAGAAACATTACTTTTGGGAAGCAACAGGGCCGAGGATTCTGGATTTGGTATTCTAAAAAAATTAATATTTCCAAACTCTTTGGACACACAGTCTTTGATACAAAAGATAACATAACCATAGAGACTAGGAGCCATGGCTAGCCTCACTCTCTCCAAATCTAATTCTTTTTCCAGAGCCATCCAAGTCATGGACCATCACTGCCATCTTGTGGCAGCAAATTCCAGCTCTGCACTGTGAAAAGGAATATCCTTTAAACCTGTGTTTCTCCGAAAATAAGACAGGGCCTTATATTAATTTTTGCTCCAAAAATGCATTAGGGCTTATTTTTAGGGGATTTTTTTCATGTACAACAATCTACATTCAAACACAGTCATGTCATCTTCTGATTGCTGCACAACGGTGGAGGGCTGGGTTTCATTTAACTAGGGCTTATTTTGGGGGGTAGGGCTTATATTACAGCCTAACAGTTCGAAAGCATGTAAAAATGTGAGGAGATAAATAGGTACCACCACAGTGGGAAGGCAACAGTGTTCTGTGTCTAGTCACGCCGGCCAAGTGACCACGGAAACTGTCTTCGGACAAACGCTGGCTCTACGGCTTGGAGACGGGGATGAGCACCAGCCCCTAGAGTCAGACACGACTGGACTAAATGTCAAGGGGAACCTTTACCTTCTATTACAAGCATCCTAAAAAAATCCTACTAGGGCTTATTTTCAGGGAAATGGGTTAAGTCCCAACTTCTCCAACATTCAGTTTGTGGATAACCCCTGTTTCCAATGTTAGGAGAGGAAAATAAATACTTTTTCTTATCTACTCTTGCTGCTCCACAAACAACTTTATGCATGCCCACCATATATCCCTTTTTTTCATTTCCAAGTTAAAGAGTCCTCCCTAAGTGTAATTATCCTGCAATTGATATTCTTAACTTATCACCAGGCTTTAACTAAAACACATTTTTGGCCTTCTCAGAACAAGGGACACCCTCTTCCAGCCAAGCAGTAGGAAGTTCAGAACAAAAAGGGGAGGTAGACTGCAAATAGTTTAGAGCTCAGTTCATGGGGAAAATACTTATCCTTTCATTTAAAAGGTAGCTAAACCAACCAACAAGAAGCAACAGCAAATAGGAGGAAAACATAGACATGCAGTGTCCCAAACTACATCTGATATGTTGTGAATTGTGACTAACAAATTGTTATGTAGAATTCATTCAGTACCTGTTCCTATTCTTTCTTCTGGATCTCCTCATGACTGTCTCTCTCTCCTCACCTGGTACAAACATCACCAAGTCCACTCTTTACCTCATGTTTTAGCCCCCTTTCTCCACTAGTCTGAATGTTCATCATGTCATCATCATACTCTTGGCCAAGGCTGGCCTATCATTAAGCAGAGGGAGGCAAGACCTCAGGCAGCAAATTGCGAGGTGTCATGGAAAGATATAAAATTGTGCATTAATACATTTTTGTTATCGTACTTTTAAAAAAAGTTCACCAGGAGAAAGCAAAAGTACTTGTGGGACTTACTGCCTCAGGTGTCAAACTAAAATTATGCATCTTGACAGCACTGAGGTGAGGGAGAACCACTGGCATCCTAGGTTAGTCCTGACATCAAGTCCTCACCATCCAGATATAGTATTTTTTGCACCGTAAGACACACTCTTCCCCCACAAAACAGGGGGGTGGAAAGTCTGTGCGTCTTATGGAGAGAAGAAAACAGATTATATTTTCCTGTTTTCTTCTCCTAAAAAATTGGTGCGTCTTATGGAAAGGTGCGTCTTATGGAGCGAAAAATACGGCAGCTTCTAACAGCCTCATTTCAACATATACAGTTCTCTCAGGATGTCACTCCTCAATGCAAGCAAGTTCTCCTTACCTGTTTGGAGGTCCACAGAGAGACGGGTGATGGGCCATGACCAGCGAGAGGTCATGGTGCATTTAGAATGTGACAGATCGCATGTGGTGCCCTGTGGGCAGCAGTGAAGGTGATCATCACAACACACTGCCTGGTGAAACAACAGGGAAAAGAGCAGAAGGTCGTGGGCATCAGAGCCAGTAAGGAGCTGCCTTTCTTGGCCAAGCTTGGCAGGCAGACAGGCAGGTTCTAACAAGTGGGCACCAATCAATGCAAGCAGAACAAGCCCACTTTTTGGCAGCATCTTACAAATCTTATGTATTTAATTTCATTTGTTAGCCATTCCATGACAAGGATTCTCTTCTAGCCCACAAGAAATACTTAAAATTTATAGTCAATTATTTCAGACATTTAAAACATAGCATCTATAAAATATACTCACAATATATCCTAAAAAAACAAAACAGAAAAATGAACACATAAACCAAAACCACAATGGAAAAAGTAATCTGATTACAGAAATCTAAAGCAACCTTGTCAAGGTTTGAAAATGTGTATGGAAAGGGCGTTAAAACAATTAAGACCACGGAAAATGTCTTTGGACAAACGCTGGCTCTATGGCTTGGAAACGGGGATGAGCACCACCCCCTAGAGTCGGACACGACTGGACTAAATGTCAAGGGGAACCTTTTTAAAAATGCCAAAACTGGGGAGTTCTACTCTGAGTGGACTGGCACCAATATTCCTTGCACCATTTTTAGGTGTACAATTACTTTCAATGCTCCCTAACTGGCCCTGTGACTGCAACATTTTGTATATTCTAGGCTAGAAATAGGCATGAACTGCTGGTTCAGTGCTTCGTGCTGGTTTGTTTCTCAGCCGAACAGGTGTTGAGTGATTCTGAGCCCCACCTCCTCCAGCAGGCGCCCACTCAGAGGCCCTCTGAGTGGGCGCCCGCCAGAGGAGGCAGAGCTGGAAACCACCAAACACCTGTTTGGCCAAGAAACAAACAGGCACAAACCGCTGAACCACCAGTTCATGCCCATCTCTACTATAGGCTACATTTCATTGCTTTTACAACCTAAAAGGGAAAAAGACACAACAGTCACCACAAAAGCAGAAAACTAAAACAGCCTCTCCCTTCCAGAGGCTCTGCAAATATGCTAGACTCTGGCTTGGGAGGAGGAGAGTCTCAAGCCAACATATCTGGAGGGAAGTAGGTTGAGAAAGGCTGGAACAAGATGTAATTTCTTTCTTTACATTAAAATATGAAGATGATATTAAAAGTTCGGGAGAACAAGAAGTCAAACATTCCACAATTGGAGGGTCGCCATTTCAAAAGTGCAGTCCCTCCTCCACCTAGTTCAACATGAAGGACTGAATCTGTGGAACGCCAGGACCTTCATGATCAAGCCCAGAACCTGGCTAAAAACTGGCAAGCCAGGTTTCCTAGCAAAACGGGCCACAGAAAATCAAATGGCCATTTTTCTGAAGCAGAGCCAACGAACCATTGTGGTTAGAGTACTGGACTTAGTCAGGAGAGCCAGATTCAAATCTTGATTTACCATGAAACTCACTGTATAATCATGGGCCACTCACACACTCTCAGCCTGACCCTCCCTCACAGGGTTGTTGTGAGGAGAAAAAGAGAACCACATATGCAGCCTTGAGCTCACTGGAGAAAAAACAGGATACAGATGTAACTAATAAATGAATGAAGAAAATAAAGAAGGCAGTGACCTTTTGTGTGAGTCCTCAAGTCTGGGTAAAACAAAGGAGCAGCTGAGTAAGAGACATCATTTCTTGGTTGTGTCTAGATATGGGTGCTTCGTATTCAAATTACATATGAAGTGCAGCAGCGCAGGTGGTGCAGATTCCATTCCCCTACCTCCAGGCGATTTGTTTACTACAAAACCGATGCCTGGATTGTTTTCTAAAATGGAGGTGCCACATTTTGAATTCAGCATGTAGTTTGCACAACTTGTGGCTAATTGACACAGTGCTGGGGTATAGATTAGTCATGTGCCAGGGTCACATATCCAACCGTGAAACCAAGATGCGGTCCTGGCACCTCCTTAAATAGCTGCAATTAGCCATGGCAAGTTAAGCAAACCTTACATGAACAAAACTGGATTTTGGCCACTGGAACAGTATCATATACGAGATTCTTGGACTCCAGGTACCGGACCTCTCGGACTCCAGGAGATTAACTCTGATCTTATACTTACGTTTTGTAAGGGGCAGCAGCCATACTGGCCAGTTGGGAAGAGACAGCAAGTTGCAAGATCAGGACAGGTAGAGTGATTACCTGGGCAGATATTTTTCTGAGCCAAACCTGGGGAAGGGAGAATTAAGAAGAAAAGGGAAACAAAGGAGTGAGAGACGAGAAGAGGCTGCTATGGAGAAGATGAACCGTTAACTGAACTCCTGACCTCTAACTACACTGGTAACCTGAAGACAGACAGTCAGCACTGGATCAAAACCCGACCCAGACCAGCAAACCTTTGCCCCTTAACCCAGAGTGCAGTGAACCAAGAGGCACAGAATTCCAGAAGTGCCTCCCCCCCCATGACAGTAAAAATACAATAATAATAAATGAGACCATCAATATATTTGCTGCCCTTTCACAGCATTCTAAATGTAATGCCTCACCAATGGTAGGACCTGTCACTGGAGACAAGAACCCCAATAACATCCCCTGCCACCCACTTTCCGTACTTAATGCCTGGGCTCGTTTCTTTGCGGGAAACTTCTTCCCAAGAGGTTGCTCCCCAGAGGCAGAAGAGCACCGCTCATGCTCCAGATCACAAGTCGTGTCATGAGGGCAGCAGTGGATCTTGTCCGAACAACAGAATGCCTGGGGAAGGGGTGGGGGAGAGAGAAAGAAGGCAGAGATTAGCGTGCCAGCTCGACCCGTCCCTATTGCTCTCCTATACGTGACAATGGCCCCAGAATTCAGTTCGTCAAGAAGTGCAATGTATTATTATGTTTGATCTGCTTCAATTATTTTTATGATACTGTACTCTTAGTGAATTCAGCTTTCTTTAAAAAGATCTTTATATTTTGGTGTAAAACAGCATGACAATGAACTTGAATAGCAAGGAAGAAATCTAAATGCAGAGCTACTTCAAAATAACAACCACCAAAGTGAGTTTTCTAGCCTTTCTTATTGTAAAGCCACATGCTTGAAACCACGCAGGAAATGTCTGGAGAATCTCTGAAGACAGGCAGGAAAAGTGACAAAATAAGACTTCCTACAGAGGCTGAGCCTCAGATTTTGCTACCTCCTAATGGAGGCAGCAGGAACAGATTGAATCGTACAGAAATATATTTACTGTGCAGACTGGGGAGTAGTTCAGAATTCAAATTTTCTTAGGATAGAATCAGGTCATTTTATATATATGTATATCTGTACGCATGCATGTATAAAATGTAATTCTGCCAGTGGGCAAAGATTTTTCCATCCTGCCATGACTTTTTTTCCTAGTCACAGCCCTTGGGGTGGGGGAGGGGGGAAGGATTCATTCTTCTCTCCCCTTAAGACCGTAGGAACAGTCCTGACATTTCTTTGGGACACTTCCAAGGATGGCTATTTTTTATTACCAATAACCATATTTATGGTGGGGAGTGAAGATGTTCCCAGATAAGAGTCCCCATTTCTGTACAGCAGCCTTCCCCAAGCTGGAGCCCTCCAGACAAGCTGGATCACAACTCTGATCATCTTCCACCTAGCAGGCTGGAGTGGTGCCAGTTGTAGTTTAGCACATCTGGAGGACTCCAGGCCAAAGACAGCTGCCTTACAGCAGTGATCCCCAACCTTGGGCCTCCAGATGTTCTTGGACTTCAACTCCCAAAACTCCTGGCCAGCAGAGGTGGTGGTGAAGGATTCTGGGAGTTGTAGTCCAAGAACACCTGGAAGCCCAAGGTTGGGGACCACTGCCTTACAGGGTGTGACTCCATTTCCTTCCACCCTGGGGAACCATGGCGCTCTACAAGTTTTTCTTTCTAAGGGATGCCAGCACTCCGTTGCATCACACAGCTCCCCCATCCAACAAGTCAAGGGGGGGCTCCACTTTGCCCAAGAAAACCCTCCCCTGGAAGATATAGTCAGACTGTGTGTGATCCAAGAGCAGAGCTGGAAAAACAGCGGTGGGAGCTATTGCCAGAAGTATTTCTAATAGTTCTGCCCATGACTTCTTCTGTGGTCTTTCTTTCAATATACAAACTTATGACTCTTCCTCACACTATTGTGCAACCTGACCCGCTGATGCATCTTCTGGTTGACACGTGCCCTGACCCTGCTGGACAGCTATTTCCCCAATGTTGCAAAGGCTTTATTTTTCAGTCTTTGTTCCTCAAATTAGTATAGAGTAGTAAGGGACAGAATTGAAGACGGCAAAGTGAGGTTTATTAGTGAGGGGTCCAGGAGGATTTGATAATTGACATCCTGACCTAGTTAAATCCCTTGAGATGGGAAAAGTTAAATATTCAATTAGCAAATCCCCCAACAATTTTCACATAACCCTACATCTAGTATTAGTCCTACCAATGGGACTCAGCTTAGCTGTAACTATTAACTGCCATTCATTTCAATGGGTCTAACCTCTGATAGCATTAATGTTATGTTTGCCCCTACTGCTTCTTTGATGCAGCCCTTCATACCTCTGGCATAGGGCAGCAGCCCCAGGTTCCATCGGGCATCATACAACAAGTGGAATCATTGGGGCACTCTGATTCGTGGTCCGGGCATTGAACGGCACTGACTATGGCAGGTGTCGAAACTGGAAGTTCAAGCAGACAAACACAAAACAACCACTTTTAACAATTATACGTCTTAACAAATTTTTGAACATTCTAGTGATTTCATTTTCAGTTTGCAACCTGTGAGAGCCACTACTGCCTACCTCCCCGAGTTGTCCTTTTTCACTGACAAAAGCAATAAACCAATAGCTCTACAAAATTCAGCCTAGACATCATGATGGCTACAAACATAACAATGGTTCATGTCTATAAATCTAGACAGCTAGCTTTTGTGTGCTGCCATTTCTTATGCCACAAATATATCTATTTCCTCCTCTGTGCAGAAACTGTCCTGCCTGCCCTATATATAACAGACAGGGGCTTTTGTGGCAAAGAGTGGCATAGATCACATTACAGCCCAAACTGAGATGCTCCTGAAATTACAGTTGATGTAATGAGCACCAGAGTAGACATGGGGATGGAACTGGCACCTAGTTTTGTAGTAAATCTCATCCCTGTCTGCACCCATGCTGCCTGGTCTGCTGTGGACCGTAGGGGGGCATTTCTTACCAATTCTAACAATGCAGTGTCTGACAAAGTGCATCACAATTCATTAAACGTCACAATGAAATAAAAGTGCCAAAAGATTTCTTTGTTTATTGATTTTGTTATGCACAGTGAAAAAGACGACCGTCTTTGACAACAGCTTGCCCACAACACCCTGCTGCCTAAGGCAGAGAAAAAGTTGCTACTTCTCTCCCCACTCCACCTAACTTTTAGCTGAATCGTTATTCCACACCCAGGAGCTGCCCTATACTGTGCCTGAAGGCAGTACATTTTATTAGGGAGCGCGATGCAAGGTGGGAGGGAAACCCCTACAACACCTGGATGCCCTCCCCCAGCATCGGTCCCCTGAAAATGACTGCCTCTATTGTCCTAATGGTAGCATCGGACTATACGGTCTTGGTCTGTGATGCCTAACCCTTGGCAATGGCTTGCCCCATCGGAGCAGGTACTGCACCTGCTCGCATTGTCTTGGTTCGCAAAACCACAGTTTGGGAAAGCTCCCTTTTTTGCATAACTCCCAGAAAATCCCATTCAACATAGCTTTTGGAGGATTCTGTAATTTGTTGTCCAAATAAAATAACCATTCCACACTCTGGGAAACACTTCCCCAAAGACCTAGAAAATGGGTTTAGTTTACTGAATGTTTTCCTACAGAGAACTGGCCATCCCTGCCTCCTGTAGCATTTCACGCAGGCAGGTGTGGAGTTTTTCCTTTTTGGTTCCTAACCAATGTTTATTTGGAGAGCGAACTGCCTGGGAGACGGGACATAATTTTATACTGCCATGTTTCATGCATTTAATTGTTACGCTGTGTCTCCCTCTTCCAAAGTACCCTCGCTTTGTAGGCAGGATCGACCGTCAGCACTGCAGTGGGAGCCCAGTGGGCAACAATGGTGTCCGTCTGCGCAGGAGATGGCCTGTGAGAAAGAGAACAAGAGTCAGACAAAGATCCCGAAGCATTTAGCACGGGTGAACAGGGTGGCAAACAGAAAAGCCATAAGATGTCCCCCCATCCCAGTCAGAGGTGATGATAGTAGTAATCCCACACATCTGGAAAGGTGCCAGGTTGGGAGAAACTGGGCTACATATCTGAGAAAAGGGCTGGCGAAGTAAAGCAGGAGGGCCACCTCTCTGAGGGCTGATTTCTAGAGAGGAGTGTTTGTTTGTTTAACTTATATGCCGCCCACTCTACCCAGAAGCGGGTGAGACGGGCATGTGTGACGTTCCTCTAACTCTTACAACGGAGTAATAAACTAACCAGAAAAAGGTGATCATCGTGATCACCACTGCTTGGCCTGTAGGCTGATCTACAGAACTCAGAACATGATCCATGTTACAGCAAGGAGATAAGCATGATCCAACTGCTATTCAACATGCAAAGACAGGGGTCATTTAAGAAGGCTAGCAGCCTTTCATCCCAAATCCAGAGACAGACCATATAAACTGAAGCTAGAAATAGGAAAGATTGTGGCATGGATTCTCCTTGCGCGATTCTGCCCACTCTGTCCGATCTGACCAAGATCCTTCTCCTGTGAACAAAATGAACCAGTACCTTTAATTGCTCCCCACATCAAGTACAAAAAACTTAAAATATACCAAATGAGACAAAAAACTAAGAATCTAGCACGAGATATCCAGTTTCAGTACAGAATAAAGCAGACCTGGAGGCAGGGAAGGTGGGGGGCAGGATTGAAATATTAAGTGGCCAAAAGGGTAGATCTCAGTCTTTGGTCATCCCAAAGAACTTGCAAAGTTTGAAAGAGGCATTACAAATGGTAAAACCCCTGGGCAGGATGGCCATTGGCGTTGGGCTTGTGGCATTCTGGGAGTTGTAGTTTAGTCATGTTTGCACTTGCAAATTGTACAGGGCTCACCTCCTTCCAGGGGCAACAGGCAAAGGCTGCGTCTACAGTCAGCAAACAGGAGTATTCCAGCGGGCACGGGCTACCGTCAGGACACTCAACACCAGAGATCTCATTCACACTCTCTGGGGACAACATGCGCAGGGAAGTTCCCACAAACTGTGAGCAAAAAGAGGAAGCATACATATAAGAAACACCCCAACCCCAGGCCCCCAACACACTTTCACCTAAACAGCAGGATTCAGCCAAAGATAACAACAACAACAACAACAGCAACAACAACAAAAGTCACTTTTTGAACCACAGCTTCTAGAGTCCACTAGTCAACACGATGGCTAAAGGGATCTGGGAGTTGTAGTATCTGGAAATTTTCTTGTGCAAGAGATACTCAACCCATAAGTGGCATCATTCAGTGAAGGTGCCTACCTGAGGTGGGTCACAGCAGGCATACTTCCCTCCCGGGAGCTGGCAACAAGCAGAAGATTCCCCACAATGGCTTCCATCAGGGCACTGAAGAGAAAAGGCTCTCCCACTTAGCACCACGCACACAATCAGCTCTGCCCACATCTTGGCCACAAACCTAAAATGATGACAATTGAAGAAAGGAGAGAGACCCAACAGTCAATTACAGGTGGAGCCAGTGATTTCCTGATCACGCTGCACAGTGAAATGCCTGAGCCCAAAAAACAAGGCTCAACAGCAAACACCATCGCCTCATGTGACAGTCATAAAAATCACTGTAAGACCATGACGCATAGGGTGGGTTGGGTGTAAGAAGAGCTGATTAAAGGAAATTCCTCTGTGGCAACACGAAGAAGTGTCCCAACCCCCGGAGATTGGTCATAAACCATCCACCAGGCTAGGAAGAAGTGCTTGTCCAACAACTAGCTTGTCTCTCCTCACTGCACCACTGTTACAATCACCTGACTTTTAAAATGTCTTATTGCTGAATTAGTTTACTGATCGGTTATTGGGAATTCTGAAAGGATCATCAAGTTTGCAAGCAGATTTTTTTAAAAAAAAGTATGATTAAAAAAACAACAGTTCAATAGCACAAGAGAAAATATTTAGCAGGTATTGCAATTTTATAAAAACATATAAAACTGTCCTTGCAAATTGCTTCCAGAACTCGCATCATAGGTTGTACACACCTCTTGCCAGAGCTTCAAAATGTTCTTTTTTTTAAAACTACAGCTCCAGAATCCGGTTGTACACACCTCTTGCCAGAGCTTCAAACTGTTCCTTTTTTTAAAACTACAGCTCCCAGAATCCTTTAGAGCAGTGGCTCCCAACCTTGGGTCCCCAGATGTTCTTGAATTGCAACTCCCAAAAGCCTTCATCACTAACTGTGCTGTCAAGGATTTCTGGAAGCTGTAGTCCAAGAACATCTGAGGACCCAAGGTTGAGAACCACTGAACAATGTTGGCTGTGAGATTCTGGGAGTTGTAGTCTAAAACCCCCCCATAACCTTCCCAACCTCTGTCCCCTATCCAACCACCCCCCACTGACGCACAGGTATTTTTTTAAACAGATGCATCTCATCAATTTGTTCTAAGTTGCATTGTTTGACCATAAGCTTTATATTTTAACTTTGGTGGCATGCACAGAGGGCTTTTGTAACTGAAAGATGGCAAAGAAATAAATTGTGATGCAAAGGATATAAGGACAAACACAGTTCAGAACAGAGACCTCTTTTAAACATGCAGCTACTTTTCTGAAGCCATGTGGTGTAACACGAGTCCCAGTTCCTTATCTTCAAAGTGTGAAACGGGGCTCAATGAGCAGCTTCCATAAGCAACTTAGATGTACATAGTGTTATATCCCCAAATGACATCTGCACTTCCTCATATCTCTCTGGTCTGACAATACGTCCCCTTGGAAATGCAAATAGAAAACTGAGGGTGTGCACCCCAAATTTAGCTTTAGGCCATCATGAGTCTTGATCTAGTTTCAGGAAAGTGTCCTCTACAAAGCAATCCAGCATCACACCATCACGACCACCTTCAACTACTTCTCCTGCCTAAGATACTGCTGAGTGTGCTGGGCCTCCAACAACTGTCACCAACGTACAGTAATCAGAAATAAATAAGAAATATTGGGGGCACATCCCACAATACGTTTTCAGCCACCGCAAATAAGACAGCCTCACCATTAGAAGACCATCCTTTAAGAGATATCCAAACACTTTATCCAATTCAACAGCTGCCTTTTGATCAAAATATTGTCATGCATCCCCTAGTTCATGCTAACGACTGTTAGAATGAATGGAAAATGTAGAAAGAAGCATTTTTGAGATCTAGGGAAACCACATGTCAGACCGTATGTCAGATCAGGGATAGGGATTGTGCAACACCCATGTTCACACACACACACACACACCAGCTTTGGAACAACAGTTTCCACAATCCCTCACACCAATGGCTACACTGCCTAGAAGTGACTGTGAGGGTTCGTTGTGGTGGGCTGTTTTCTCCTCAATAAACGGACGAGGCATGGAAGGAACATCAAACGGTGTTGTATTTATTTCGACATTAACATCAACTGGGATACCCCCCAAGAAGGGGTTCAGGGAAGTTTGAAGAACGTGGCTAGGTTTTAAGGGTGTCCATAAACTATGTACAAAAGGGTTCGTAGTCTCTGGATTCCAGGGACCTGTTGTGGGCGGCACAGGTCCCGGTCCAGGGTCCAATTCTTCTTCTAAGGAGATCAAGGGTAAAGTCTCCTCATCTCCGCTCCATCCATCCCAGGAGGATCCCTCTCCTCCTTCCGCACCCCAAGGGCCGGGTAACCCCCCAGCTTCTTCAACTCGGCGATGTGCCATTGTCTTTTCCTCTCCAATTCTCTGGCGACAGCCTCTCTTTCTTCTCGCAACTTCCTCCTCCACTCCTTGGCCTCTGTTTCTCCCCAGTAGGACGGGCGAGGTTTCAGTCCTAATTGCCGGCGTTTTTCTGCTTCTTAGAAATAAATAAGAAATATTGGGGGCACATCCCACAATACGTTTTCAGCCACCGCAAATAAGACAGCCTCACCATTAGAAGACCATCCTTTAAGAGATATCCAAACACTTTATCCAATTCAACAGCTGCCTTTTGATCAAAATATTGTCATGCATCCCCTAGTTCATGCTAACGACTGTTAGAATGAATGGAAAATGTAGAAAGAAGCATTTTTGAGATCTAGGGAAACCACATGTCAGACCGTATGTCAGATCAGGGATAGGGATTGTGCAACACCCATGTTCACACACACACACACACACCAGCTTTGGAACAACAGTTTCCACAATCCCTCACACCAATGGCTACACTGCCTAGAAGTGACAGGAACAGCAATTCAACCACATTTTTCCCACCCTTGTCACTCACCAACAGAATTAAACAGAACTTGGAAACATTATCTTAGTGGATCATAACCCCCAGAATTATAATTCACAAAACTGAGCATGCAGCAGTGAAAGGCCTGAGCCCAAAAACAAGACTGGCAGGGTGTCATCAACAGTCAAAATAAATTGACTAAGAATGGAGCCATGTTGATCCAAAGGAATTTAAAAAACCACATCCACAGATAGGCAATACTTATTAGGATGAACAATAAGTGCTCAAAATATATCAGCTTTCAAGAGCTCAGAACTCTCAACTCTGATTAAGAACTTTAGACAGAAAAACAAAAACACTGAGGAAGGAGGAACTGGCTTTACCCAAGCTTATAAAGTAAAATTTCAGCTCCAAAATTCCTATACAATGATTGTGGTTTCTTTGCAACTCTGCTAAAGTCTCCAACAGAATTTAGAAGTTTTGCCCTTGAGTTGATGCAGATGCATCCTGCTGTTGTCCTTATATCTGCAGAAATCAGGTAATCTCGATATTGACTCCTTCCTTTGTGGGCTTTGACAAAGGTCCTGTGATATCTACATGATTCTGTGACTCAGGTCTCACTTCCCAGTCTGGGATGAAATCTGACTGCAAATCCCGAAATGCTGACCCAACTATTTAGATCAGTGGTTCTTAACCTTGGGTAACCCAGGTGCTCTTGGACTGCAAATCCCAGAAGTCCCAACCAGCATAGCTGGTGGTGAAGGCTTCTGGGAATTGCAGTCCAAGAACACCTGGGTTACCCAAGGTTAAGAACCACTGATTTAGATGTCCATGGTTCACCCACTTTATCCCTCATGTAAGCTGATAAAAGAGTTCTAGAGATAATAAAAGCTTGATTCTGGTAAAATTATTGTCCAAGTGTGGATTTTGGATGTGCTACAAGAGTTGTGCACACAAAAACAGGATGGACCAGAGAGAATTATTGCAGGTGACCCTATCAAGACTTAACAGGGACACATGATATGGGATAACCTTCCACTCAGGAGGCAGCACTAGATTACTTCTGAACACATACCACCCAAAGATTATTTTGGGGTCTGAAGACATATAAACTCAAATTCCTTACTGTGTCTGCTGATACAGCTTGCTTTCAAATCTGCTGAGAATAAGGAAGTGAGAACTAGTAATCAACGTCAGTTTCATTTCTTATAGCGCTCCTCTTCTCTACCCACAAGACGTTTGTCAAATTGCTCTGCATGGGAACATCTGTTTCTTGCAGTGTGTTATGACTTGCACAGCAGCCTCAATGTCCCTTTTAACTCATAAGGCACCCTACACCCTGAGCAGCAAAACCTGCCTTTGGAAAAGCTGTCTGGGTTTCGCTACTGCTCTAAAAACCATAAAGTCTTTCAAGAGCAAACATCCAACGATTGAGGAACCAGAAACAGAACCCACTCCAGAGTGGGGTGGGAAGAAAACAGCCTGTGTTTTGGGCTACACCTGCTCCTGAGATGGCTTCCGATAAAACATAACCTTCAACAAGATGTTGAAAGCAAGAGACTGCAAGCATATTCCACAGTATTGATTTATCAGTGGTAATCCAGACTGTCCCTTTGCAAGACCACAGATCTGAGCTCTTCAGCTGCTCATGGAAGATCAAGTACAGGTTCATACGCATATCACTTGCTGTCATGCTTTCGTCTGGAAGACCAAGACCAACTGAACTTCTCATTATCATGAAACTTGAGAAAGCTGAATAGTACTAGAGACGAACAGATAGATTCACACATATCATACAAATGAATCAGTTTATTCCAGTCAAAACCCAGCAAATAATAAAACTGGCAATCAGAGCAATGGTAAACTAGTATAAAGAACAAAAAAAAAACCCTACAAAAAACTGAAATTTCTATAATTATAATGTTTAAACAGTGAACTCTATTGAGTATCTAAGATGCAGAGATACCATACTGTACTTCAAGAAGGATGCTGAGAAACTGGAACAAGTTCAAAGGAGAGCAACAAGGATGATCAGGGGGCTGGAAACCAAGCTCTATGAGGAAAGACTGAAATAACATGTTATATTTAGCCTCGAGAAAAGAAGACTGAAGGGAGCTATGATAGCACTTTTCAAATACCTGAAAAGTTGTCATACAGAGGAGGGGCAGGATCTGTTCTCAATCATCCCAAAGTGCAGAACACGCAACAATTGGCTCAAGTTACAGGAAACCAGATTTCGGTTGAATATCAGGAAAAACTTCCTGTT